CTATCTGCTCAGAAGAGTCACTGGAGGTGATAGGGGGACAAGTCTGGCCTGTTTTGAGGAGCCATTGGCCAGTGATGGCACTTAGGGACAGCATGAGAGCAGGGCTTCATTTGCTATGCTCTTAGCCATGCTAGGGTCAGAGGTGGCCCTGCATACCTGCTCTTGAGCTGGAGGAGGCGCTCTAGGATTGGGACTAGACAGGTAGTGCCTCCTACCAGTAGCCTTTCCCTCCCTGGACAAGGTTGCTGTGTGGGTCTCTGTTCTCCTGCTAGTTTTCCCCACTAGATAGAGCTTCTTTGACATTCATGGTCCCCGAATCCCCACCAGGGCCTCAACTGTCCCCAGCAAATGTTTGTGGAATGAGCCCTAACTGGTTTGGCTCAGTGGGTAGAGCGTCGGCCTGCGGACTCAAGGGCCCCAGGTTCGATTCTGGTCAAGGGCATGTACCTTGGTTGTGGGCACATCCCCAGTGGGGGGTGTGCAGGAGGCAGCTGGTCGATGTTTCTCTCTCATCGATGTTTCTAACTTCTCTATCACTCTCCCTTCCTCTCTGTAAAAAATCAATAAAAAATATATTTAAAAAAATGTTTGTGGAATGAATGTATGAATGAACACAGTAGAGTGATTACCAGAAGGGAGGTGTGGCTTTGTTCACACAATGGATTTGGGGAAAGGGAGTGTAACATGGCTGCTCAAGGTGGCTGTTTATTCACTCAGTGACATACAATTGGTGTTTTTAGTGAGGTCTGCTGGAGGCCACAGTAGTAAGGGATGTTCATACATTCATTCATTTCTTCCTTCCTTCCTTCCTTCCCTTTTTCCTTCTTTCGTGTATTTTTGTTTCCCACTCCCTGTTGAGGTCCTGGGTACCAGGCCCTATGCTAGAGCTGGAGACACAGAGGCAGCTCCCCTCTCTGGGAAGGGAAAGTGGTGAAGGAAGTAGATATGGATGGGGCCAGGGAGCCTGCATGAAATTCATCCATGAGGAGCTATGGGGTCTGTGTGGGAACCTGGCTCAGGCTGGGCCCACAGAAGGCTTTCAGAGGAAACAAGCTTTTGGGAGAGAAGTGTTCTAGGCTGGAAGAATGACATGGAAGGCCAAGGAACATTGAAATGCCCAGGGTCCTGGAGCATCGAGTTTGAGGTTGCACATGATAAGAAAGGCCATCAGGGCTGGATAAAGGGGATTGATAGCCTTGGTGAGATCTGTGTCCGTCCTGGGGGCAGGGACACCTTTGAGGGGTTCTATATATGGAGATGACATGATCAGAAGCACACTGTTAACACAGCACTCTGTCTGTGGAGCGCAGAAAGGATAGAGGGAGTTCAGTCGAAGCTGTGGGCAGGGTGGATGACCCAGGTGAGAGATGGTGGTGTCCTGAATTTGGGCTGTGCCTGCAGGAATGGAAATCAGTAAATGGACTGAGATCCTCCAGGGAAGAGCTACAATGGGGAATGTGGTGGGGGAGAAGATGGAAATGACTGTGAGATGTTGATTTCATTTCCCGAGGTAAGGGAAATGTTTGGGTGGCATGGAGTAGGATATGGGGAGATAATGAGGTTGCCTATTGAGTGGCCACAGAGAAAGGTTATGTGGGTCTGCAATGGGCCTGGGCTGGAGATTCATAATCGAGAGTCATGGATTTACAGAGGTCCAGTAGCCTGTGTGGGAGAATATCAAGTATAGTGTGTTGAATGATGGCCCCTAAAAAGATATGCCCATGTCCTAATACCTAGTCTCTGTGAATGTGGCCTTATTTGGAAAAAGGGACTTAGCAGATATAATTAAGTGAAGGATCATGTGATGAGATTATTCTCATTACCCCATGGGCCCTAAATCCAATGAAAAGTATCTTTATAAGAGAAGAGGGGGTGCAGACACTGAGGAATGAATGGAGTCCAGGACTCTGAGGCCCTGTGGAGGCCTTAGTCAGACCTTTGACAACTGCTGTACAGAACGAGGCATTAAGAGGACACCCATAGCTCCATGTAGGCAGCAAATATTTATTTGTGGTAGGGGCTGAGGATATGATGATGGACAAAACCACATATAACTTATGTACTCCTGCAGCTCCCAGGCCAGTGGTGGTGGTGGTAGTGGGGTAAATATTAATCAATCATTCACCTACATAAACTGTGGCAAGTCTTACAAAGCACACAGGGCATAAGCGGCTGTTCTAGGAGGTTCTGATCTGGTCAGGGAAGTGAGGAAAATCCCTCTGAAGGGATCAGAGGATTCAATTCGGAAGGAGGGGAAAGTTTCTAGACAGAAAGAACAGTATAGTCAAGGCCTGGGCGTGGGTGGGGAAGAATGGCCATTACAGGGACTGGAGGAAGGACAGTGTAGCTAGAGAAGTGGGCAAGGGCCAACCACTTTTAGGGTTGTTCAAAAGGACGGTGCAGTTTACTAAGCTGAGAGTAATGGGTTCAAGTCTGCATGTTGAGGACATCCCTGTTGCAGCAGTGTGGAGGGGATGGGGGAGGAAACAATAATGGAGGAGGGTGGGCAGCTAAGAAACTGTTACAATCATCTAAGTGAGAGAGGATGGGCAGAAATGGATGGATTAGAGAGACATAATTTAGGCGGTAGGATTGAATGGATGTGGGTTATAGAAGGATAGGGTCTGGGGATGAGGCAGAAGGCATGACTCCCAGGCTTCTGGTTAGGTAACCAATGGGAGGGGCGTGTCTCCATCAGTGAAGCAGGGAATATGAGTGGTGTGGAGGGGCAGGGGAGAGAGCATGAACCCAATGTTGGACACTTTGCGATTGAGGTGCCTGGGGACACTCAACTGGAGATATAGACCCTGAAGTCAGTTATATGAGTCTGGAGCTCAGGAGTCAGGGCAAGGGTAGAGAGACATTGTGTCACCTGTGTATAGGGAGAAATTATAGACAGAGAAGAGGAAAAGAGAGCCCTGTAGGCCTGAGCGTTGAGGAATCCCCTCCTTTACTGACTAATGGGGAGAAGTGGAGAGGAGGATGGGCTTGGGGGCGGTGGGGGTAAGAAGCCTGGGCAGAGGTGGCCAGAGAGGATGGTGGGAACCAGGGGACATGAGTGTTCCAGGGGGGCAGTGGTCAGACGTTGCTGGCATGTCAGACACCACTGGGGTCTTTGACAGATGAGGACTTAAGAGTAGCCATTGAATTCAGGGGCTTGTAGGTTACAGAGAATGTTCTGAGACCTGGTTTGGCGTGGTGAGGGGCTGAGGGATGGGAGGGAGGTGAGGATGAGGAGACAAAGGGCTCTTTCAGAGAAATTGCTGTGATTGAGGAGAGAGACACTGCAGCAGTTGGTGGGTTTGAATGAGGGTTTTTTTTTCCCCCATAGCACAGGCTTGAACATATTTATAGGTCAAGGGAAGGATCCAGTTGAGAGAGGGAGCAAGATCCTCAGGGCAAGCTCCTGAGAAGGCGAGGATGGGAGGATCTGGGCAGAGGGAGGGTGGCCTACCAGGATGCAGCAGACGCAGGAAGGTTTCTGTTTGGCTGTAGCTGAGCTCTGGCAAGCGGCTGACTCAGGCCAGAACAGCGCTCGTTCTGTGTTTTATGCGCCGTTGTGTCTATTTGTGTGTGTGCCCGTGCCTTCCCCAGACCTGGGCTGCCAGCTTGGACAGTGTGTCACAGGGAACATCCCCAGGGCGCCTGGGCAAAGGCGGGCCCCTCCCACTCTGGGCAAGCTCCCTGATGAGATTCTCAGATGGGTTTCCCCTCATTCATGAAGGGGAAGGTTTATAGAGCAGGCGTGGGAACCAGGGCCTCCTCCGGCTCAGGCTGAGGTTTGCTGCCTCCCTGCCTTCATTCCCTCCCGGACTGGACGGACTGAGGAGGCCTATCCACTGTTTTTGGCCTGTGTAGTAGGGAAGGGTTTGGGCAAACCAAGGGTTGGCCCCAGTGTACCCACACCCGCCCTCCTTCTTCCCCACTAACCCATCACCTACACATAAATCAGGAGGAGTGCCTACCCCAGGAGCGGGGGACAATCTGAATCCCTTCGGAGCATGGCCCTGGGGGTGGGCACCAGGTCCCTAGTCTTCTTCGGGGCCTTCTCCCCTGGTCTGTCCCCTCCCCTGATACCCGGCTCCGGCCCCAGGTGACATCCCCACCCCACCCTACCCCTCCCCTCCACCTGCTGGTGTGGGGATGGGCAGGGGCGCAGGAGAGCTGTGTCCCCTGCAGGACCTCCAAGGAAACGGGCACCCTGAGGCCAGGGGAGAGAGCCGGCATCCAGGGACGCCCCCTACAGCACGGGGCCGGGATGGGTCGTGGGCCCCCTGCAGCCGCCCCGGGCTGG